ACTTCTTGCACAACATCATCGTCATCGTCATCCACCTGCAAAGCCGTCGCTCTGACAGTAGCTTCAGAGTCTGGCCCGTGAGAGGCCATCCTGCCTTTCCCTCGCCCGATCCCCGGAAAGCTATGAGGGGATAGACCCTCTTTGCTGAGGGGCAGGAAGGGAGAAGCCCCCAGACAGGATAGGACTGTGGGAGTACACCCACTCGATCTGCCCCGGTGTGTGGTATGTTTTTGGTAAAGCCCCTGGGACACACACGAAGTTTCTGGTGTGAGCTATTGGTCTCTTGGGCTCGGGAACCTTGAGCCGACACGGCCTTGAGCCGTAGCCTACTTACTTACTTACATACTTACATACTTACATACATACATGCAGACAGACAGACAGACAGACAGACAGACAGACAGACAGACAGACAGACAGACGCGCACATGTGCGCGTGTCGGTGTGTTGATTATGTCTCTGTATGTTTATTTGTTTGCTTGTTTGTGTGCAGACGCAAATATATGCTTGCGACATGCATGTGTGCATTCGCATGGCGTTTGCGTCAGGATGAATGACATGCAAACTACTGACTCGTGCAGACATATTTGTACATGCACATGCATGTCCTGCATATGTGTGTGTTATGTACCTTTAGGCCAGTCTATCACGAAGCTGGCTTTGTGTCCGCAATCAAGCTGGGCCGAAAACCTTAAACGAAATGTACCTAACGGCCGACGTTGGTGGTGCTCGGCCCTTTACCTTGAGATTGCACACACTGGCTGGATGCGCACCTGGACTCCTGCAATAAGGTGCAAAAGGAAACGGGGGGCCCTCGCCTCAATCGAAAACTTGGGTCCCACGAGAAGAGCTCTCGGACCCACTACTGTAGAGAAGGGCTGGGGCCACCGAGCCACACCCAATCGTATTCGGGTCTCGGTATGTCTCGGTAGTTCCGCAGCTCCGAAGTTGAGTGTGTGCCCACGGTTTGAAACACGTTTGAAGGCCCTTGTAAGCCTGCCATGACGACTATGGGTCCAAAAGAACGACTCAAGCTTCCGGCTTCAACATAGCGTGCCTCCGTAGTAAACACGCGTATGTATGTACTGAGATGCGTGTACGCATGTGTGTCGTACATGCCGACATCGTACATACATGCGTACACATATCCACCCACACTCAACGATAAGAGTGTTCGTGGAGACTCCCGTGCCGCTTGCATTGCCATCCTCTGTACAGCCACACCGGTTTGGGTTTGAGGCCTGACTTGGGCACTTCCCACAAAACGTACTGCAGCCTTACGCTGCGCAACCGTGACGACATACACTTTCGCTACACGCTACTTCAAACTAAATTATGCGGACCATCAAGCAAGGAAGACCAAGTCAGGCAAGCGGCCTGTCTGGACCTTTTTCCATCTTTCCTCAGTGCAAACGACTTGCTGTCACCGCACCTCAATGCCTTCGTACACCTCCACGAGATCCGGTTCTCTCGTGGTCCCAGCCCGCAGCTGCATGATGGGACTATTCAAGGCTAGCGTCTCGGTCTTTCGCCTCCACGCCCGCGATCTTGCTAAACTTGCAAACGCCGAACCTCAGGTGATCCACTCGCATCAAAAAAGTCGAGCTGAGACTACGCTGTTTCGCGTGTGATCCCACACGTGCCCTCTCTCCAAACCTCCTACTAATCGGCTGTAGTGCTGAGACGTATAACTTTTGCCGACAGTCGGGGCGAGGCTGAGCAAGGGAAAATGACCGGAGGAGACAAGGTTCGCCATGCGAGCACTGACCATGTTGACTGGAGGACGCGCGAAAGCAGACAGCAACGAACCCTCCACAGGCAGACAACGAGAACACGGAGGACACTACTACTGACTACCGCAAACACCCAGCAACAGTAGAACAACGAAGCATTCCCGACTGCCTCGTCAAGATCTGCCATGGCATCTAAACAACCAGCTGGACCAGACCACGGGCACAAGCTATGGCAGCCACGCATGGTCTCGTGGTTGGATACCCCATGGCCCAAAACTCATGTGCCGCGATCCTGACAGACTACGCGGCTTGTTGTCTACTACCTTTATAGTATTTTATAGTCTTCTGTGTGTGGACCGATGTAGTCATCAAGTCTTAGTCCAGAGACTTCATTTGCTCCGCAGAGTGGGCGATCGGCTTCCACTCGCTGGCCATGACGTGCGGTAGCCGGGGAGCCGTGTAGACCTGCAGTGTTGACACTGAGCTTGCCTGACTGCCGACGCCGCTCTACATGCCAGTGTGGAAATACTTCTGAAACCCTGTTGCGTGTATGACTGCGACGTGGCATGTTCGGGGATGCTCTCGGGCAGGCTACGACCTCCAAGAACATGGGAGGCATGACTACTGCCTTCGCCATGGTCACGAGGATGCATCTCTTGAGTCGTAGCCCGTTCCGTTCAGCATATTCCCTGCCTCGCGAAGACGGAAGACGAGCCACTCGCGGCCCTTCGCCGTCATTTCGGCAACTGGGCCAGGCCACACGAGAAGCGTCGAGCTACAGCTAACAAGACGCTCTAAACAACTTCTTCACATCTCGTGAGGCTTGTCCCCGGGGGCTGCAGCAATGCTCCACCCAAACTGCCTTCGAGGTAAATCGTTACCTGACACATTCCGACATTCCACAGGTGGAGGCCGACAAGACGGAAACCTGAAGCATAAAACAGGAAGATGACGCTCCGCATCTTGAAGCACCCTGTTGTGTGAGTCCAAACTTTCGTCAATGAATTATAAGGGTGGTGTCTGCGCATGAGTTTCAAGCTTCATAGCTCGAGAGGCTCAAGGGATTTTCAGCCTGGGGTTTGGGGCGAGCCGGTCGGCTCCTACAACGACGCTCCGCACCCCTCTGGAGCCTGGAGTGGGCGGAGGCTCCTCGGCGGTGACCACGCCTGAATGGAGGGGCGAGGCACAGCCAACGACAAGGGATTCGCGACACATTAGCGGCGAATCTCAAGGAACGAAACGAAACGGATGGTAGGATGCCCTACATAGATTTCTGCCTCATGATGCCACACTGGGACAAGGCAGCTGAAGTTCACAGGTGAGCGTGCTTCGTGCACATTAGCATCTGTCCCTTCCAGTCTTTCGTCCAGGCGCAAGGCATTGAATCCTGCGCATGCGCATGTTTGAACCCAAAGGGCCTTCATGATCGCCAGTGCGGGCCCGTTCGCTTGCAGCCCGTGGTGGAAGTTGCTCCCCTGAGCTCCCCTACATTCCGAAGCAGAAGGCTGTGGCCGTGCGCAAGCATTTGGAGCACGAGGGGCAGGCCCAAACCCCACGCAAGAAATACATTGCAAAGGAAGGTCTGGAAATCGCACAAGAGTCACAAGAAACTCCCCTGAGTCATGGAAACCCTTGCTGTCGTGTTGTCCTGGTGGCGATCGCTACCACTTCCTCCCGCTATGTCCAAGAACTGTGCAGAAGTTCGAAAAAAGAGGCTCCTTGTCCACACCTATCGCCACCGCCTTAACATTGACATCCCTCGCTCTGTGCCAGGAAGCTTGAGTCGACCTTCTGCTCCTCGGGCGGAAGTCTTTATGCTCTCACAACCAGCCGGCGAGAGAGAACGTAATTAGCATGCTGAACCCTGAACCGCCAATCAGAAATGCTAGAAACCATGCCTGCAGATACTTTCTGACTACTCGCTCTGCATGTTGTCTGGGGTAGCCTTGCCAATGCGGCTCAACCGTAAGTTACAGCTAGAGAAAGGCTATTCATGCGTTTCGGCAACCGGAGCATCTGCTCTTCGCTTATAACGGCTGCTCCATTCCCTTTAACCCAGACATTCCATCAACCCACCGTCCCAGCACATGGGCCATGCAAATCAAGCTGGCCCCAAGGGCTCCACGAGTCCACAACGCAGACCGGTTAATCGGTAGCTCTGTTCACTACGAGAAAACGAAGACCACAACAAGTGGGCCAGGCCTATGCTGCAGAAGAAAGACTTGAATGCCGCGGTCATTCAGAAGCATGCGCAACACTCCACCACCCTTGCACGCCTTGGCCCCCCGTGCAGTGCTGTATTTTGTGCAGACCAAATGCTACAATGGGAGGCTTCATCGGCCATCGTCAGTCACCGAAACAAGTACCATTTCAGCAGAATCAAAGAGTCAAACAGCTGTGAACGAGAGCAGTGACGAAACAGGTCAAGTCACTCTCGAAGGCGCAGAGGATTTCGACCTTGTCGGGGTGGCCTGTGTGCAAAACACCACATAAGTCTGTGCCTACGTACAAGTATGTAGACTCACATGCCTAATCATGTATGGGCGTGCGCATGTATACGATACACGTGTGCGTGCATGTACATATGTATGTATGTCTGTATGTATGTATGTATGTATGTATGTATGCGAGTATTTATATATATATATAGATTTATGTATCTGTATATATATATATATGTATTTATATATATATATATGTATATTTTTTATACTTATCTATTTGATATGTATATATATATATATACATGTATATGTTTCGTGGATATATATATATATATAGATAGATAGATAGATAGATAGATAGATCTCTTGATATGCGCGTCTGTCTGCCTGTCTGCCTGCTTGCCTGGCCGGCCTGCCTGGCTGTCTGCTTGTCTTGGCTGTCCGTCTGCCTGCCTGCCTGCCTGCACTGGCTGGCTGTCTCATGTATGCATGCATGCATGCATGGACGCCTGTGCCTGTGTATGCATGTATCTATGTATGTAGGTAGGCCATGTATGCTTGGATGCAGACATCTTAAATATGTATGCATGCATGTATGTATGTACGTGTGCGTGTGCGCGTATGTATGTATGGATGTATGTATGCATGTATGTTATACGCTTGTTTGCTCTTATGTAGACATCTATGTTTGTGTGTGCGCATGTGCTTGTGCATGTGTATGTGCGCAAGCAGGTATGTACATGTGTACGTATGTACATATGTATGTGTACGTACGTATGCGCATATTCGTGTCTATACCTGCATGTATGTACGTCTACATGTGCGTGCGGACGTATGTGTGTATGCATGTATGTGCGTGTATGTAGCATGCAAGTAGAGCGTATGTAGGCATGCACAAATCTACATTGATATATACATATGTATGTGTACGTACACACACACGTATAGATATATATATATATATGCATACATGTAAAGGTATATACATGTGGGCGTGCACATATGTAAATATATTTTTAGCACTAACTCTCGACAAAGCAGGCGAGGCTTCGGAAATATATACACACACATATACGCGCAGGTGCGAAGAGGTAAATATGTATGTATGTATATGTATAGGCATAATTATACAATATCAAGAGTATAATAGCAACTTATGTGTGTATACTATCCATATAATTATGTATTGATTTAAATGATTTGAACATATCTGTGTTTGTACTTTAAATGCAGCAGATACGCCTTGATGTGGTTTCGTTGCCTGCTGTATGAAAGGACTAGGTTTGTTGTGCAATGTACAATACACAGAATGTGCTCATAGACTTGTCGACTATGGTTGGCTACCATGTTGGCAAGGCCTCCGCAGCAGATTGCTTAAAGGTTAGGGCTGTCGGAGTTAGTGGAACTTCTCCGGGTGAACCCGTGGCCTTCCTGCGCGTGTTGCAGCATGCAAACACTGCCAGCATCTTGACACTGCGTTTTTCGCGGACAAGTGAATGCCGTCGGCCTGCTCCGGCCATGTCGCAGCTAAGCGATTTGTTCTCGCCTCGGGCCCAAAAAAGGGGGATACCGAAGAAGCACATTTGCGAAAGCCCCACCGCTGACGGACGAGTTCCGAAATCATAGCTGCACGTGCGTGCCAGCGCCAGCAAGGTTGAAGCAAGGTCAAGGACCGATTTCAGTATGCAGCTTGAAGGAGTTCAAAGTAATACTCAGAATCTGCATAATCGATCGGGTCTTCAGTCAAGAAATCTCGGCCTCAACCGGCCTCTGGGCTCTCAAGCTTTCCGCTTCCCACCCATGGGCCTGGCTGTTGGCCTCCTCCTGGGACTCCCGCCTTTGGAAGATGGGCTGCTCAGAGATATCAGTGCTGAGCACATGTTAATAGTTTCTTGGCAAAATATACCAAGTGAAATAGACCGAGACAGAGTTGTGCACATGCAAACCCAAAAAACACTGCATATTATGATATTGTATTATGTTAAAGCCTTAGACGCGGTCGAGGCCGCTCATCGCACTTTACTTACCCCAGCGTAGGACTCTCGCAGTGACGCAACCTTGGCCTGCTGGAGGCCATGCTCGGCACTGACAAGACACAACAAGGCAGAGTCTCCGAAGGCTGCCGAATCCGTAGGAACCGTGTCGAAAGCTCCAAACCGGCAAACTGCCTCAATAAATGCGTAATCACCTCAACAGTGTAACAGGGCCCCGAACCAGAAATTCCGGAACAGACTTGGGCCAGCCTCTTTTCGGCAGGGGTCGTTGCTTCGTGTGGAGGGCTGGCACTGGCCTGGTCTTCGGTCACAAATCAAACCGTGCCGGACAAGGTCCAAGTTGGGTGGGCATAGCTCTACCCGATTCTACCTGTATCGAGTTTGCCTGGTTTGCCTGTGCGCACTTGCTTCGACAGCCGGACGTCCGGACGAGCTCCAAACCCAGAAAAAAGTGGCAAGTGTCTCTAGCTTGCTTTGTAAGTGTGCAGATGGCAAGCATGTCGAGCAAGTCTGCAGATTGGACGAGTTTGTGTTTTTCCGTCCCTGCATCATCAAGGAAAAATTTGCTCCCAATAATCTGACTGCAATGAACTAGCACGGCCTCTGTGATTGCATGTTCATGAGTCAATAACCTTGAACCACACAATGTCCGGCCATCTCTGCCTACTGTTGCGGCATGGCGGGCTTCGAGATGATGTTTTGATTCTCTCTGGGGCAATCCGGCGAGGACTCTGGGAGAGCCCTGCCAACAAGGCCGCAATCAGGCTTGGCCAAAACCAGCCAAAGCCGGACAAAACTGAAACTGCACATCTAGCTGCGTCGTGCCTGCCAGCCCGCCTTGCTGCGGAATAGGATCCAGCGCAAGCGAAGCTGAGGAACAAACACTCTAACAAGGTCTGCTGGCTTCGCCTACAAGGAGTCCTAGGTTTTGCGCCTCCATACTCTAGTTGAGAGCAAAGCCCGCAGACTGAGGTGCATCTCCAGCCATCTCCGACTGCTCTTCAGCTCTGCTTCAGAATCAATCATCACTGTTGCCGGACACACTTTCCTTGCACAAACGCATGCCACAACCTCAGAGTCTCCAAGAAAGGCCCCTCGATGGAGAGGAGACCTGCGCCTAGGACTGTCGCTTGTATCAGGGAGCCCTTGGAGAGTTCGTGGCATGACAATTAGCGTCAGCCGCGGCGCATGGGCATGGGCCGCACTGGCCGGTTGAAACTTGGATTGCGATTCACCGGGCGCTTTTCCAGGATGCGTTGCATCTCGGCTCTCTCCCGCTCCTCGCGGCTTGCCTGCATCTTATGCGCCTTCTCCGGTATCGTTTCCGATTGTGCTGCATCAGCACTCTCGCAACAGCCCATGCTTGCAGCAAAACGGCTCGCCCTGTCAACGGCCCTAAACTGTACAGCTGGGCCTGAGCCAATGCCTGAGCCCGAATGAAGTGCACGTAAATCGACATTCTCAGCTTTCCTGAACAAGCCACCGGCTCTTGGCAGACAGCTATCAATTATACTGCCGCGCTCTGCACGTCCTCAAGCTGTTACAGCGACTGTGTGATACACCGTTCATCCTTATTGGCGTGCGAGGCTTGAGCGACTCAATATTCCGGAATACCAAGCTCGGACTCAAGCCCTCAGATGATGTGGATACATGCAGGTTCATAGCCCACAGTAGGCCTCGACAGATGCTCCAGCAGTCTGGCCTTCAGCCGGTCCAGAAGCCTCTCATGCGCGCGACATCTTTCCAGACTATTCCTCCTTCCGTTCCTGCGGGGTTCTTCCATGCATCGCCTCAAACTGTGGATTGTAGTTCTCAACTGCTCTGCTTTGCTCTGCTCTCGCAGATCTGCGAACGAAGCTTCTCCCGGTTCTCTGTCCTTCTGCCCCTACTGCAGACTCCCATAAGACACAGCAGTATTCTTTCAGAACGTTACGTGGCTTGAACTCGAAAGGCCGTGCAAGCCCAAAGCGTACTGTTACATTGTTCAAATCCTCACCACGACAAATCCCTCTCCGGGCGGAGAGGCTGCAGGCAAGCTGACCTCAACCTTCTTAACACTGGAGAAAGGACATGAGCATGATGTAAAAAGTGGCCCACCTCCCCCTCGAGCATGGTCACGCGGCCAGGCCGACTCGCTGTCTAGGTGACCTGCACGGCCACCTCCACGCAGCTACACATAAATGAATAAGTCAGTGGCCAAGGTCACACGCTCAGGATCTACAATGCACCTCTGACTTCTTCAGGAGATCCTGTAGAGCCTCGGAAAGTCTCATCCTTGTGGCACTGCGTGCCTGAACCTAATCCACCAGCAGCCCACCAGCTCGCAACACTACCATGCACCTAGGCACATCGGCATCAACTCTACAGCACACATGTTCTGCGAGATCCCAAGCGAAACACACACAAGCAGCGCACGTCTTCGTCTCGGCTTCGTGCGCATTGCGCACTGTAAGCGGGTAAGCCGTCAGCCCAAGGCCCAACAGATCCTTGAGCCGAGAGCCTTTCGAAGGCGACCGAAGCTGTAGCCGCCTTTTTGCTGCAGTCGCCTACAGCAAGGGCCTCTGAGTTCTGCCCTTGCCGTGCATGCTGCAAGGCTGCCTATCACACCTTGCCACATCATCTTGCCAACGGGCAGTACATAAACACGTGTCCACCGATGTATCGAGACTGCATGAAGCCACCAAATCAAAACCTGGCTCAGCATCAAAGCCTCAAGATCCACTAATAGCCCGCCTGCCAGCCTTCGGGCTTGAACAACACAAACCTGGCTTGGGCAAATCGTCTCATGTTCGACATGACGGAAACGGAATCCTCACGTCGATCTCAAAAAAATACCAAGCTCCGGGATGGCACAAGCTGCAGCCGGTTCAGGACGCCAATATAATGACGTTCCGAAACATCACTGAGCCCAAGTCCTCAAACCCCGACGGAGGCACGTGCAAGTCCGGCCTCTGAGCCCAAACTCCCGGCCAGCGGACCCCTCATCAAATCTTCAATGAAAGCCTCTGGCCGCTCGCCCTACAAGGCCTGTCGTGGAAGTTCTGCAGGACGTGCGGCACAGGGAGGCCTCGGAAACCTCCTGGCAATCCAATCTCTAAGCTAACGCGGGTGGTGTGGTCAGAAGACCAGACGTGAGACGAAGATTACATCTCTTGGTCAGTTTCTCAAACGCTGAGAATTTTGTTTGCTGATGCTTGCCCCCTGCGAACATCACACGTGGTGTCATGCTGAGAGAAATGCTCGCGCTCCAGTGTGCTAAATCCCGGAAATCGACCCATGCTGACTTGCCTGCCGCAGGAAGTGTGGTGTCTGGGTGTGCGAAGCTTCCCCGCTCGGCTTCAAGCAGGTCGGCAAGTCCTGCATGGCATCTCTCGCTAGTTTGGCACGTCGAGCTTGGCACAGGGTGCTTCTGTTTTGCTAAAGCCAACAGCTAAGGATCTCGGCTTTGATGCTTGAGTCGTAGGGCCGCTGCGCTGAGGGCGGGGCTTCGAAACAGGTCCTGGAGGTACAGCAATACCGTCTCCTGTGAACCACTTGGCCACTCAAGACACTTGCATGCGGGCCAAGGAGAGGCTGAGGTCTGGCTTCGGAGCGTGGCAACTGGCTCAAAAAAACTGAATCGATACAAAACAGTAGCAACGCAATCTGAGGCTCAAGCATGCAGGGCACCCACGTGGCTTGCTGCCTTCGTTCTAATTCTAGAAACGATCTCTGGCGGGTTGATGTGCAGCATGCCCATGCTACATACCATCAACTCCCATCCTGCAAGGGACTAAGCCAAGGTGCCCAAACCACGACCTGGGCTTTGCTCACAAACTGGGCCCGCTCGGAGTTGGAGCGACAACAGATGTGGCACTCATCCTCCCACCTGTCAACAAATTCTTGGGATGGGGGAAACGGATTCGCTCGCACAAACAATCCCCACCCGGCTCCGCTGATGACAACGCACAGATGTTGCAGCACGACTATCTGCCACATGGGCTCGTGTCGCATGCAACTGTCCCAGAGCAGGCACGCAAGTGCAGGTGCAAACCTTGAGATTGTAGCCCGCACAAAATCCGCAGAAGGCAGGACCGCAGTCCTATATATTCAAAGTCAGAGTCCCCACCCCAAAGTTAAAAAAAAAACTCACGGCACATTGCCTGAGGATCCGCAGCTGCAGGGCATCGAAGAGCCGAGACGATTGAAAACCCAGTGTCGCAAAGCCTGTCTGGTGCTGGAGGCTGGGAGAGGCACACGCTGTGAAACTGCGACCGTTCTCTTCGGGCTTCTTCCGCAAAGGCTGCAACGCAACGTGTTCGGTCGCCCTGGGTCTCAGAGGTTTAGTCTTCAGCTGACGTCGACCCGGGCTGCCGGCCCCATGCCAGATCTGCCAGAGTTCTCGGCGTGGCTGCCTCACCTTGGTGAATAATCAAGCGTCAATGTAGTCGGACACGAAATCCTTGATCCCTTGGTGTGGAGACGTCTAAAATTCCAGCAGTAGTATCACGACTTGTTGAGTATGACCGAAATACACTCTAAGGTTTAAGCTGCCGCTTCGCATCAACCTTGAAGAACTTAGCCCATCATCCGAAGGTGGGGTGTGGCATGGCTTCCTGTTGTGAGGCGAGCTGCCCAGCTCGAGCCTCTGGACAGCCTCCTTTGCAGCTGCCTCTGCACAGGGTCCATTCAAGTTGCTGCCGGCTGGAAGCTACTGCAACCAAGGCACTCAGTCTCAAACCAAAACTCCGCAACTCCAGTCCAACAAACAGTTGTGGGGCAAAGCCTACCCGCTCCCACCCCGCCTCCAAAAAGCTGGCAGGAGCCTTCACCAAAGTGCCGAAGGACCACAGTGCCTGCACTCAAGGGCTGGTGAACTTCCAAAGCAACCTCAGGGGTTCAGGGATTCACTGTTTCCCCAGCTCTTAATCATAATCCCCTCTTCCATGACCCACCCACCTCCCGCTTTAGCAGCGCCACTGACCCAACCCCTCTGTCCAGAGATTCTGCTGGCGGAGAGTGGCTTGCCGGGAGCAGCCACCTTTCGCGTGGTATTATGGCTCAGAGCCTCAACATGACAACAAAGACTACCATTTAGAAACATTCTGAAGCAAATGCGCTCATTCACTCAAGACCTCACCTGTGTGACCTACCCGTTGCTTTCCGAAACAGTGCACCTGCTTCAAGCACCGCCGGGCAGAGGCGGACGACGCGAAGCGTTTGAAACTAGAACCGCGTTCTACCTCCTCTCAGGCCGTTAGTCGATCATCACTTCGAAGCAAAGAAGCCAGACTGAGTCAGCTAAGGGCTGATTCTTCTATGTCTAGCCTCCCAGGAAATATCTCTGCGAGAGTGTATGTGCGCGCGAAACTTCGCAACCACCCCGAGCTGTCCCCTCGTACAGGCAAAGTAGAATGACACTCAGCATTGAATCCACCGGATCCGCGCCGTAGCCAGATCTTCCAGCGAAAGCTGCCCGAGTTTTGAAGCGAGCGCCTCGTCAGGGGCTGCCTTCATTCAGTTGTCAGTTGTGCACCACGAAGGGTTATCATTAATGCTCCGTGAAGGCCCGGCCTATGCAAGAAAAGCACGGTGGAAGATCCGGCAACGGATTCACACATACCAAAGCAATGTGAGAAGATGTGCAGTTGGGGAATCGGGTACAAGGTGTCCGGGCAGAGGATTTGGACCGGTTTGATGCTTAAGATCCCGAAGCCCTTGTGTACCTCACACCAGCTTGCAAGCGCCAAAGTCACGACAACCGGAGGAGCCTGTGCCACTGCCTCCCAGTTCTCATCCCACCGCAGCTGCTGTGCGCCCATCCACACTCTTTGCAGCAGCTCCTTCCGTGGGAAACAGGTGGGCTACTGCTTCTGCAACACGGAGGAGCTCGAGCTCCGAAGATGCAGCTCCCGACTTCTAGCTACTGTTCACACTTCATGCATGATTTTGCGCAGGTAAGTATAGGATCCCGTATACTCCTGCACAGAACTCCGTTCGGCCATCCTTCCTAGTGTCTCGCAGAGGGTCTGACAAGGGTCTCATTGACGGGCTGAAGACAAACGCAAACTTTGCCACATGCGGCTCTGTCCGCTCAACGTGGCCACCGGCACAAAGAAAGCTGCAATCAAGATAGCCTAGCGAAGCTTAAACTTGCACGAAAATTGTGGCCTCTGCCGACATGGATGCTATACTTCCCGTTGCGGGACTGTGTCGGCCAGCAACCACGAGGCCTCGAGCGTGGCACACCACACGTTCTTGAATTCGATGGGGGTGGGGAACATTTGATTTTGATGGTGCTGTCGCAACATAGATCTCAGCTTGCGATAAGCGAGCATGAAACTGGGGAGTGCGGTGCTTGGACCCCTTCCAGAAAACCAGTGACAAGTACTGTTGGAAGGATGTTGCACTTGGCCTTGGACGGCTGGCTGGGTCGTGGGGTTTCTCAGGAAGAGCAGCATCCCAACAGGCGGTTTAGGCTTTGTTTGACGAACAGCGCAGTATCCTTTGCATGCTTTTGTCGTTAATCATTTCCGACCAAATGTGTCGCTGAAGCTTGGAGGCTCGTGTGGCTTACGTGTAGGCTCTAGAAGCTGCACCTAGGGTTGCAGGCAGACACCTTACCGGCAACTGGTTGGCAAAGATCATAATTACACCACCAAACTCGCTTCACAGTCGGACGGTTGACAACTTAGTCCCCAGCTCTGCTGCCACTGCCGCGCCCGCTCACATGCCCGCGCCGCGCTGCCTGGGTGGGTGCTGTCGGGAACTGGCATCATCAGCGTTCTTGTTTCTCCATCCGTGCCATCCTCGAAGGTCTCGCCAAGCATCATCATCATCATTATCATCACCATCACCATCACCAGCATCATCAGCAGCATCACCATCAGAGCCAGCAATTTCTCTTATTTTCTGCTACAGATATGCGACTAGGTGGGCTTGAGATGCTCTTCGAGATGCAAGCAGATCAGATTCATCCCGAGCCTGAGAAAAATCAAGTGGCAAATTCCAGCAGTGCTCGGTTGAAGGAGCGCGGTGGCCTGCGAGTCGGATAGAAACATTCGCAATGTTTTTGTTTATTCGCTACCTCGAACATGGAGCAGGCAGTTGCATAGTTGTTGCACGTAGGCTTCAACGCCGAATCTACTTGGCTAAGACAACAACGACACCAGAACGGCAAACCCACTCAACGAAGCCGAACCTTGATGGCAGGCGGCGCAGTGTGGGATTAGTGTTTTGCGTGACAGCTACGGCCTCCGGCTGTCCTGGAGGGCTTTGTGGCGTGCTCTACCCAAGTCTCCTGGCCTGCCACTGCAACAGGTCAAGCGCCAAGTCCCACAACGCAGCCTTGATTGGGCCACCACGCGTCTCTGGCTCTCTTAACAAACTGTAAGAATTGAGGTCAGACGACTCGCCAAGGCAGGAGCCTGCTCACACAGTGACAGCGTCTCCCGCAAGCGAATTCCATCCATCGAGCGCAACGTCGGCAGTCGCATGCTTCCCACAGGCGTATCAGCGACCTGTGCCCGGAGAGGTTGAAGATGGTTCTTCTGAAACTGCTCACCGAAGCGGTCGAAGGTTCTCTGGCAGGCTGCATGTCTTTCGGAGGTTTGTTTTAGTTTGTTCCTGGTGCCTTCTTTGCAGCTGGAAAAAACCGGCATGCCTGCAATTCTCAAATTTTCGCGATATTGAAACCTGTACAACAAGTAACGATCGACACTGGGGTTGTCATGACCCTGGGTTTGATGGAGGCTCCAATCTTCTCCACTGAGCTGTCGACACTGCAGAAATTGCGAATGCACCAACGACAGGACCGCAGATCGCCTGCCGATGCTGCAGCAGAGCCAAACTGCCACGCCAACGACCTCCGGCGATACTGCAATGAAAGGCACTGTTTATTGCTGCTTTGTCATAAGAGCCTCGTCACCTACGGTAACTAGTCACCGGCAAAGTGCATCTCGCCTCAGGCAGGCAGACTCCTCTCATTGGGCCTGTGAAATCTGACCCCGAGAAAACAAGCCGCTAATTACTCAAACCTAAAAGGAGCTTCGTTTTCTTCAAGACAGAACGGGCTCTCGAGCCTGATCTTTGCAGTATCCATGGACTCTTGAGCAGATGGTTCACGCCTGCTTCCCAGAGGACGGCCAGGGCTGCATTGATGCTCACATCTCCCACTGGCACTGCACGTTGCTGCATGGCAGAGAGCCTCGGCCCCGCATGACAAAGCGGCATGTCGATACTTGTCACATTTCGACATTATGGCAATTCTTTGGCCCGACATTTCTCACGCAAAGTCCAAAACTCCGAACTTCAAGCACAATTTCACTCAAACGAGTCGCAGGGCTGCCGCCTCCTCCCAGCGTCCTCTGGGCTTCAACGACGTGAGGCAGGCATTGTGGCTCACCTCGTGCTTGCGTAAATGGCAAGTGACTCCCTAGCACCAGCATGGCTCTTCCTATGCTTACTTTTCGCCCCCCAAGTATGCTAGCTGTCTTCCTGCCCATGGCGGTGGTGGAAACCAGACTAGACCTGAGACGAACCATCGAAGTATTGACCTGTCGTCGGCCTTGCTTGCTGATGCGTGCCCATCACCCAGACGGTGAACAATCTCTTCTCTGCCAGTGAATGCCAGACAAACTTGTTTCTGCCATGAACAAGTGGCAGTCAGCTTTAAAACCCCGACAAACTGAAGCTGTGGTTGTTGTACATATCTGTGACACAGGTCTCGAGGGAACTCGAAGGCGTGAAGTCTTGCCCGTCCATCACCAGCCAGCAGCAGTCAAAAAACAGTTTATTTCTGAAATTTGCAATGACAGCCCTAAACCTTGACTCTGCGAGAAAGTCGCGGCGTCAGGCTCGACGCGGCCTGCTTGGAAGATCCTTTCAGCGCAAGCTCTGAGGCGAGAGGAAGGGGTTGGACAGAAAAAGCCTGAGCCGCTCCTGAGAATGGACAAAGCTCCCCACCATGAACCCGCCTTCGCCACCGCGCTTTCCTTACGGAGCTGGACCCTCGCATCAGCTGATGCAGAAAACTGAAGAAAGCTCGAAGCTGCCAAGCCTCCGCTGAGTTTAGGATGATCAGGGACGTCTGGAAACCCATTCGAGCGGAGCTCTGAAGAAGGCCCAAGGCTACCTCCCACTGCCAGGAACGAGAGCACGAACTCGTTGCAGCGCTGAAGCAGATGTCGCTCCTGAATTCACTGAATGGTTGGTGTTCAGCAGCTAGTCGGACCTAGTCGTCCTAGCACAATTTTGTCATGCAGCTGAGCTTCAGCCTGATGCGGGAAGCACTTGCCCAGGTAAGCAGTCCAAGAGAATCGGCCCAAGCACAGCCCTTGTCACAAGCGCTGGCAGCACTACCCACGAGCACGGCATCGCAGAGGCCTCCTCCCTGTTGATTGTAGGTCTGCAGGGCGAGGGAGCGGGTCCAAAGACCGTCACTTTCAAAGGCAAGCGATGCAGCGCCAAAAGTGATGCTGTCAGTTGCCCCTCGTCTCGATGCGGCATGAAGCAGATGGGAAGACAACTGCCAAAAAGGTTTCAAGCCAGTGATCACTGCGGTCCAGCTCACCGCATCTGGATGCATACGCAATCCAGGAAAACTGCCGAGCACTCCGAGACTCGTTTCCCAAGCTTCCGCCTGCTGGCAACTCCTGAGCTGCCATATAAGTGCTTCATTGCTGTCCGGGGAACGGCAAGCCACACCACAAGCTCCGCTAGCTTCGACTTAGCATGCTGGGCAAGAGCTGGGGCGCCGCAGGATCACGTTGAAGTGGATGACATTGGCCTTGTCCTGTTTCTGGGCCGCCTCGAGGGCTGCAAAAGCATGCTGCCACCTGGCAGTGAGCCGGGCGAAGCCACACCCGACGAAAGGGATTCCGAAGGGGCACGGCGAAGCTCCGAGATAGCGATTGAGACGCTGCAGGTTTTCTGAAGGCTCCATGGTGCATCACTCAAGAGGGCAACATGCAACCCACACCCCATATCGGCACCCGGCATCCAAGTCTGTCCTAGCCCTAGCCAGGTCGATACAAACAAGAACACCCTTCTTCGCTGAGAATGCGCTTGAGCTCCAGCCCGAACAAGACAGACATGTTAATTATAAGCGAGTCTCACAGCCTCAATCCTAACGAAACCTCGGGAAGCCACATGCAGAGCGCCTTCGAGCCCTACAAGAGGCTGCAAGCACATTGGTGAAGGCCGCCGGATCTGCCCAGGCGGGGATGGCTGCGGCCATGCGACCACTCCATGCCTTCAGGAAAGGATCATGTACGCTAGAAGTCGGCCCTGGTACACACCACTGCTGCCGACTTTCGCCAAAATCTACCATGTAAGTGCCGATTTATGCCTGAAGAAGAGTGATGGCTGCGAGCTGTAGTTGCAATCCAAACGGTGAATGAAACCCGCAGTTCTGCTGCAAACGAGGGGTTGGCCACCTTGTGTTTGACCTTTCTGCTGCCCCCACTCTAAAGTGCAAGCGCAACAGGTTCAACAACGGGAGTGAAGTGGGAGCACGATGCCAAGACATGCTACGTATGCTCCGGCCTCGTAGAATTAGCCCGGTGGCCGGCAGAGCAGCAAACGAAAAGCTGTTCGCAGGAAGCCCAGAGTAGCTCGAAGCCGCATGGCGAGTCCTGACTGCCCTGTGGAAGTCTTCAGGGGTTCACTGCCCAAAGCAAGCAGCCTATTGCACCCTGGCAAGGAGCACCAGGTGGGAACCACAACCTTCAGGCTTCTAGGTTGGAGGCTTCAGTCACTTCTGCGCCTGTCGTCCAAGTAAGTGCTTCAGATTTCAAGGCTGTCAGTCCGGAGCGTGCGATCCAACTAGGCCGCCGACAGCTGCATCATGTTCACAATGAGTTTTGTTTTGGCCACTATAGCCACCGTCACGGCAAGACGTGACCCAGGCCAATATCATCAGGGAAGAGAACGTGCAAGCTAATCACATCCCTAGGGCAGATAAGTGGAGCTTACAAATCGCAAGTTCTTCAGCAGGCGAGGGAGGCAAGGGAGTTCAAAGCCGCAGATGGTCAAGTGGTACCTGGGAGTGCCTGGCGTATCCAGAAGCCAAATAAGCCAACAGGTCAAGTCTACACACCCTGGACCTGCCCGACAGCGAACTCTGAGCCCAGCCATTGAATTGATCATAATTACCCAGCAACCCAGCCGCTGAATCACAAAGTCTGCGAAGCAGAGCTCCACGCAAGGCTCGGCAATGGTGGCGAACTTGGCGGGCGGCACGCTCTGCTTCAGAGGGGCCCTGCTCAGCACGGTACATCTTTGCTACAAGCAACCGCGACCGATCAAGCCACGCTTTGTGCTCCTTATCAAGTATAATACCCATATGAAACACTCGCCATGCCAAGCCCGTTTTGGCTGTGCTTGAGCATACTGTGGATTCGTCTTCACTGCCAACCTCGTCCGTTGCGACGTGATACTGTTCCTGAACGATCTTGAGCATCCTATGCCATTCTTTTTCCCCGACGGCGTCTTCACGACTGGGAGTGCGCCGAATATCCAGACCAGCTGTTTCCGTGTCTGTTTATGCCTCTGCGGCTCTGTCTTCATGGGTCTTTGACACGTTCCCCCACAAGGTGCTCTCTCACTCTCTATCTCTCGCTCTCTTCTTCACTTCACTTCGGGGTTCAGGAGGCGTGCGAGGCCCCCCGCGCCGAAAGGCGCGCCNNGAGGCTTTAAGGGGCAACAACAGTCAAAGCTCTGAAAAAGATATCTCGCTCTCTTCTCTCTCTCTCTCTCTCTCTCTCTCTCGCGTGCGCTCTTTTACTTTAGGGCATGACGGTCCTGCCACAGTACATCGACCGGGTCGACCGCAGGTTTGAGCGAAACTGTGTAGGCGCGACATTAGCACAGGTTACCCGAGCCTTGATTCTCTTTCAAGGATACGAGATTTATGGTGCACGGGGTAGCTCGAGTCGGAGCAAGGAATTTGGGATTGGATTCTAAAGCTGAGTGCACGGTAACTACAGGCACAATGCACCTACAGACGTCGGTGCAGGCAGAAGATTGCTTGAGTTGCCAGTCCCTGCAGGTCGTCGCGAGCTGGCTGTGACTGGGGCCCTCGAGTCTGAATCCCAGAGAAGAAAGGGTTTGAGACCACTGCAAATAGACTCGACTCATGTACACGGTGCTCTATCAAGATCCATCCCACCAGGCTCTTGTAAGCACTTACGTTCATAAGACCATGATCCACACAGACCAACGAAATATACTGCCACAAAGGATCCTCGTAAAGCACGGCGGCACCACAAACTCGGACACAAGGCCCCAGTCCGAGACATGGAAGGCAATGACTTGACTTCCCATTTACACGAAGGGGATTGGCCCCGGCTTTTCCACACAACGCCGGAGCCTCGAAGCGATGCCATAGAGGGAAAGGCTTGCTCGTGCAAGCAAAGGACTCGGGCTGAAATTGCTAGCCCGACCGAGAAAAGATACTACGTGGCAAGTCCCCAACCTCGGAATCCGGAAGTCAGGAACAATCTGCACAGCGCTATCGTTCGAAAATGCGCGGGTCATAAGTACCCAGGCACTCTGCAATCTCAGGTCGGAAGCCCATGTTGCTCAGTACGTTGTCCAGACTTATGCCGGATGCGAGCTCTGTCAAAACAAGACGCTGTTGCCTCCTTGGTTGCTTTTCACAACGAGCGAGCGAAGGAGGGAGAGGAGAGAGGGAAATACCGATGAGGTGGATATCACAGACCTCAAGGCTCTAGCAAGGCCAGAAAATCTAAAGCATGAGGATTCCACAAATCTTCGACTTCCATAAACTCCATGACCTGTACACGCACCATAAACCAAAACTCGCTGCCGAATTTCCTCGCCCGGTTTTACTAGAGAGGACCTAACTCTTGTCTCGGGCGGCCAATGCTTTTCCGAAGCAGGAGGCGATCAAGCTTCTTTGCCCGGGCATTATTGTTCGGGATTTTGGGATGCTGTGGTCAGTTGGACAGAGTACCGTCTATGCAGAGCAGCTCGAGTCAGGCAAGGGTAAGCTCCAGCTGTAGGGCTCAGGAAAAACTAGACAGGTTGGGGAGGAGCTCCCACGAGCACCATGTAGCCTGAATTTGGTTGCCACCAACAGGCGGCTGAGGCTCAATTCCATCACGCAGCGCTCCGTGACGAAAATAATGCGCCGAGATCCCTGGGAGGCAGATGGAAAGGTGATCTCATCGATCGTCGGCTTGAACCTAGGAGAGCTGACAGGAGCAAAGCACCCATACGGCCCATACGCAAGTGGTTGAACTTGACGAGACCGCGCACGGCTTCCCCCTAAGTGGTATACCAAGGAACTTCATGATGGAGCCCTCCTGTACGATAATGAGCTTTCCATCTTCAACTTTCGTGACCAAGTTCCCACAAGTCAGAGTCGTGGTGAAGACCAGCGTCTTGGCGTTGGCAGCGATATCAGCAAAGCCACCAACACCTGGCACTCGACCAGCGAAGTTGGACACGTTCACGTTGCCCTGTTCATCCACCTCGAAGCATTCTCTCAGTCTCGCGGGTGGGAGGGTCTCAGGTCGGATGTCACTGCAAAAGTTGGGAAGCAGCGGACCTCTCCGACACCCAGGAAGGCAACGTCGATGCCGCCACCTACCTCACTTCTTTCATGCCATTCGCTGGACTGCAGTCTACAGCAAAAGAAGAGACTCCCGACTGCGAAGCCCGGTCGCGTAGAAGTCCATCATCGACGAGGTGGGCATGATCGCTTCAAAGCCCACGCTCGTGCCGAAACGCATTCCGCCCTGGGCCTGACCTCCCCAAACTCCAGACTCCACTGTGGGCCTTGGTTCTGCCAACAGTGCAATGCTGAACGCTGAGAAACACGTCGGCGATCCCCAGACTTTACCAGTGCATAAATCTCCATGTTCAATCAAGTAGCATGTGGGGTGACTGGAATCTGAACCTCTACCTCTCAACCTTTAGCAGCGAGGCACATGTAACCCTTGAGATGGGGGTTCTGCTGGCCGTGTGTTTCGATCATCGCTGCGACGAACTCCGGGGAGCCTACGCCGAAGTTCAGCACGGCTCTCTCCTCGGCTTTTGGCATCTCAAAACCATATGTTTCAAAGCCCCTGATGCCTCAAGACGTCCCAGCTTCGCACTTCACCTCGAACATTGCCCGGTGGGCCATCACGCGCTTTTGACAGGCATTGCGGGGTCCTTCCCAGGGAAGCTCCTGAAGATGTCGTGAGGACAAGCTTCGAGATTTTGCAGCTTCTGGGCGCGAAACTGTGGTTGATGAGAGGCTCTGGTGACAAGTGAAGGGCACGAAACATGACCTGGCGTCCTCTGCATTTGTCTTCTCGGCACTCGGTCCGCCAATGCTAGAGCCGCAAGCTAAGGAAAGAGAATCGTAGTTTTCAACCGAAGACTCTGGGCTGGGCAAGGAGCAAAAGAAGCCCTCAGATCTAGCGAAGTCCTCGATGGCGGCGGCTCTCGGCTTGAGTTCTCCCGAGAGGGTGGCATCGTAGGTCTCATCCTAGAAAGCTCAGAAGGGTACTGTAGGACATCACATGCCTTGAGCACCACAGCACGAGATCAGCCAAGCTCAAAGAAAAGACATATGCGCTCTCTACCACGGGTCTGCAGGTGCATAGGTGACCGCGGCATGCTCGCCACCTGGCAGGGTAGCAAAGCCTCAACAATCCATGCCGGCCTCAGCCTGCAGTAAAGCCATTCACAATTCACAACCCCCTACCCTGTCCTGCGACCACAACCATGTCCACCAGCATGCCGGGGATGTGAACGCGCCGCGCATCCAGCGATCCGTGCGGCACGACCTGCTGCACCTGGACCACGACCTGGAGCAGCAAAATCGAATGCTTCAGCGCTTCAGAACTCAACTCTGGCAAATACGGTGTCCTTGCAACCTACGACAACGGCTCGTGGGGAAGCCCAGCGAGCGAACAGGCCGAGGTGCGAGGCCACCGTTATTCTTTGCGGCCATGGCCTGGTTCAGCGAGTCCAGAAACCTTGATGAGAGGAGAACTGGAAGCAGGGGAAAGTAATATGCCTCCTGCAGTGGGGGAAGATTATGAGTGAGGATGATGACTGTCGAGGTGAAGCTTGGCTTCCTCTGTGTGCAAGCATCTTTGGTCAGCCGAAGTGCAAGGGCTCTCTTTCGAAGGACACATTGCCAGCCTCATCTGCAATGGAGCCTCGAAGCAAAGCCACAGTGATCCTGGGAGCTCGGCTGCTTAATAACGAGAAAAGCACCTATGGCTATGGCTTCTGGTCGTTGTCGCAGTGGCAGTGGCAGCAGCAGTGGTGGTGCAGCAGTGGCAGTGGTAGTACATCGGAATGACGAAGCTAGGGGAGCGCTTAGGAAAGGCAAGTGCCCCCTTGCACCGAGGTACGTGGGCGCGGGGTAGAAGATATACTCCTCGGAACCCATTTCCACGATCTTCACCAAATCCTCTGCAGGGTGGACTGCGCACTTTCCCTCCTAGTATGCACCTGGCCGGCCGCTCTCTTGTTCACTGGGTCCACTAGTGGGGCGCCCGGGACCGTTCTGGCTCCTCTGTCGTCTGCTTGTTACGCTTGCCGCCTCCGTTCCGGGGGTCGGCAAAGGTGTGAAGCCCGACCTTGCTCAGGTGACCTGGCACCTGAGTCTCGGCTCGGCTTTGAGGCTTTGGCGGTCCCGCACGTGTGCATACTGAGCACTGCGTATATCATCTCCTGCTAGGTTTCGAAGGGAAGATGTAGAAAGCCTGGCTGAAAGCAAGATCCAACCAGCTTTGACTCCAAGGCGCACGGTTGGCAGAGGACCGGATCATGTGTGAGATTTGGCCTGAGCCGACGGATGCTCAAATTATGTTTCTCCTGCCCCTAACGACGGGGCAGTGCAGGAGGCAGCGCTGCAGGTGCTATTGACTAGACTGGTCGACTGCCGATGATGACGCACCCAGGGCAGATTGGACCTTCGGATTGTATGACGGGGTGTCTGTTCCGTGCCGTCGGTGTTTCAGCTGACCTTCGCTTCTTGCTTGGTGCGGTAACCGTAGTCTACCGTAGGCTAGAGCAATCGTTGGAAGCGGCGAGAAACGATCAACCCTGTGTGACATCGACCCGGAGTAAGCGGCACACAATGCTCTCGCGCTGGGAAAACTGTAACGTGGGCATGTTATGTATGAGGTCAATCGGAAGAAACTTTTCAAGACACGGCATCTGAGCAACTGGCCCATGGGCAGATTGTAGCCCTGGATTTTCCCCGACAGCACAGCATTGGTGAAGGCTGGGCAGACATCCGTCCATCCAAATGTTGCCTGCACCAGAAGTTTACAGACTGTGCCTCAACGGCTTGATTCGACGGAGCGGGCCTGCCTTGCGAACGAGGGGTGTCAGCTGGTCCGTCCCCTTTCCTTCACGGTCGCCCACGATAATGGAGAACACCATCTCGAGGTCCTGTGATCTTTGTTTCTAGAGTGGTGAAGTAGCCCTCTCCCAGAGCTTCTATCCTTGCTAGAGGGACGAGCTTGACAGGCACCACATTTGCTTCGGAAGACCAAGCTGCTCGAGGATGCTTCGTCTTGTCGAAACGCTTTCGAAGCGCGGCGCTAAGCGCATCGCAGGGCATGGTGGCAACGAACCTTGGTTGCATCGCCAAACTGTGTGGACTCAACAAGCTTGGGCACCAAGGACCCAAGGGACACCTAGTAAAGTAGGTTAAACGAATGAGCCAGCGGGTGTCACCGAGCTTGGGCCTCTTGATTAGCGCAGAGCGACTGACCGTTATGCGAACAAAGCACCCGGCGAGGGTTACGCAGTCGCCGTCCACGATGGTGCCTAGGCAGAGAACTTGCGTGATGTACAGGTTGGAAATCCTCTCCATGTCCCCATGCTTCGGCTTGCACCCCTCAGCATCAAGCGAACCTCCTAGTGCAGGTAAAGGGCTCATTGCCTGCTCCGCACTGACAACCTCGCCGGGGCAAGGCCAAGGCATTCCAGGACACTGGAAAGATCATAAGGACAAGAATCAGGGATGCATACAACGGCTGGTCACTCTCGACTACCAGCTATACACGATCCATAACGACAGCATTGATTGAGCATGCTGTATTTCGGAAAATCACAGGTGACCTGTGATGTCGCCACATGCAGCATTCTCGCCGACCCTGCCTTTGAGCTGGCTGTGAGGGACTTGCGCAATGCGATGCATTGCTGCTTCAGGGCTTCCAGATCTTCCTCTTCCTCAGCTCAGCAATAGCAGGCAATCTCACTAGCTGCTCAGCCCCACTCGCTCACATGACGGGCTACTACGTTCCTGGGCTTTGCTGAGGCATGATCGGAAATATCAGAGCATACCGAAACACCCTTTGGTCCCCACACATTGGCAACCCGACCATCCGCATTTGAGGGCATGCCGTGCATGCAAATGAAGAGGCTAAGGGTTCAGAACATTCCGGAAGCGGAACTGAGGCTGCCACTTGGGTGCAGCATTGCAAGTCGGAATTCTGTTGAAGCCGAAGGTTTCTGCTTCTGTTCATTGGTCGATTGGGTCGGGCGAGAACCATGAGCATCAGGAACATGTTGCGACCCAAGAAAACCTTTACACACACACAACAACACTCATACAGTTGAGCCGCGGCTTTTGCTTTCGCCAGCTGAGGGCCCTTCAGCCCCATGTTCCTAGGTGCGGCATTCAGCAAGGCAACATTTCACAGGGAGTTTGAAGCCTGACATGTGACATGAATGTTGTTCTGCAGAGTGCCAAAGAGTTCGGCCCGCAAGCGTGAAGACATGACTACGGCGCGGAATTGATGCAAGGCCCCAGCCACAGAAGTCTTTGCGGTTCTCTGCTTGACACAAGGAGATTCAAACAAACAGAGGTGCTGACGAACCTCCGGCGTATCTCCTGTCTCCATTTGTTGGCAGCCCAGGTTCACCACCACACGACCACGGATCTTGCCAGCCAGGATCTGCGTGGCCACCTCGCACAGGGCTCTTCTCAACGTTTCCGTGCAGGAACAGCACCGGATCGTCACACGAGCTCGGCTCAACCAGCTAACGAGTGGTTCAACATGTTTCCGACCCTCACCAAGACGATGGCAAGAATTGTTAGGGCCTCTTGGTGTCCAGTGAGTCTTCCTTCGTGCCGGAACAAGGAGTCCACTCCAGAACCCAGCGGTTCGAGTCAAAGATATACACGAAGAGTTGGAACGGCCGGTATGTAAAATGCATACACCAGTGACCTTTAAACTCAATTTTCCTCGCAACACATATTATCTCGATCTATGAACCTCTTGGAGATCGTCCATGGCCACCTCTTTGCGCATGTCCCGCCAGACCTCGCGAGCAAGACACCAGGACCCCAGCGATCACAAAAACTACAAAGCTCACTTTGGCTGTTGTAACGATAATCGGGAATCGTGCGAATCGTCAGCAGCCGTCAGCACGGAACAGCACTATAGGTAAATAAGCAATGGCTGCCCTGCAAGCAATGGACTTGCCTCTGGTGGGACTTTGGCCAGGTCGGACCACACGAGCTTGCGATCCTCGGTGGAGGCGAAGACGGAGTCCACGCCGTACAATTTTACACCTCGGTTGTTTCAGTATCCTTCGCGCACACACACAAACCTGTAGATGAAAGTCTGATTGCGCGGTCGTCGCCAGTCCTTTCTGTGCCCATTGTCCTAATTTGTGCCGGCCACCTCGTATGATGAAAGGGTAGACGGTCGTCTTTATGGCAGGTCCGCCAGCCACTCCGCAAGTGGCCAATGTACAGCCATAAGCCATCTGAGAACATATAGTCGGTATCGTCGGACCGCCGACAACCTTGGGCTGGTTGGATCTGCCTGCCGCCCTTCATCTACATGCCAGAATTTACATTCAATTCATAACGGGCACGGACCGCACAGGACTCATCAATACGAATGGTTGGTCGGTGATCGGCCGAAAGCAAAGCTTTTGCTTGGGCTGAATGCGAAGCTAAAAACCCAAACACAGGCGAGCCACATCGATGGCCCCGCCCCATTTCTGCTCATCCAAAGCCTTGCCTTGCGCGATCTTTATTGCAATGGGGGCAGAGCTGTGTTGGGTCTCGGGATCTTGCGCGTTTCGGGCTCATGCTTTGTGAAAGTTTTGGCCAAACTGAGCAAGAACATGAGCCAAGGTCGCATGCATTTGGTCCATGCGTGGTGGTGCAGTGGCTTCGGCTTTCTTCTTGACTTTTTGCATCACCGCTCAGACAATGGGTGAACACGTTGAGATCCCTCATGTCCGCCTCCCCTCGAAGCTTCAGCTATCGCTTCATTGAGGTTGATTTTCGCTGTACTTTGCTTTATTTTCGCGTGGCTTACTGTTTCATGTGCGTTGTTACCAAATAGGTTTTACCATCAATGCGTTGACCAGCAAAGACGTTTCATGCTCTGACCATGACACATGGTCGTTAACGGACTCGTCTCTCTTCTTAACTAGTTACTAGTTGGCAACTAGTTGGTCTATTTCTCTGCTCAGGCTCGCTCGTAACACCGAAGTTCGGGGCAAAAATCGGCAATGGCGGGGCGAAAGGTAGGTCGCCTATCTCGTCTGGAGCCACAACAGGCAACAACGTTCGCGGATACTTCGGCCACTGCATCGTTTCCAGGGCCACGATCGGACTGCTGCGTTTGGGCCACTCTGAACTGTCCGCTCACACGAACCGACTCTAGCAGTCAACACGATCGATGTTGAGCAGGGCGTCTGTCCGTGCTCAGAGCAGGCACGATCTCCGTGGCACCTTGCAAGCTTGGGTCAAGCTAGCCGCTGACTTGTCCGGAACCGTAAGCTGCACGGATGCTAGCACAATGTCGCAAGACTGGCATATGCAAAGGCGACTACGTCACGGCAAAGTCTCATGCAGACTCAGGCACCCAGCTTCCGCAGCCGTGCTTCTGTATCTTTCCAGCGGGTGCAAGCGGCCACTTTACAACCTAAGTGACTCTGCCAGTAGATTCGGAAAAGCGGAAGCACGTAACTTACAACGAAACTAAACACACACACACACACGTTACACACATTGAGATCGCATGTTCGGCCAGTTCCTTTCACGTCGACTCTGTAACCGATGGTTTAACAACCGCGCCTTTCTGAGCCAGGAGGTATACGGCCACGCTGCCAACTCCGCCGTCTGCGCCGGTGACGAGGATGGGTTTCCTGTTGGTGAGACCAAGCAGTGCCACGGCCAGGCAAGCCCCAACACTGAAGGAGAGACAGCTTGGCTGCGGCAGTAGTCCAAACCGCCAGCACGGACGAAGCATATATATATATATATATGTATGACGAACCTTTGGGTAAAAAATGACTTGGCTCTGGTGCTCCACGGAGTTAAAATAAGGGAGTGTAGGGAGTTTTCGCAACCGCCGCAACCCCCCAAACTCCCTAAACTCCCCAAACTCTCTAACTAGTACGGAGTTTCGGCGACCGCCGCAACCCCCAAACTATTCCCGGGCTTTCTAGTGGAGTTTAAGGAATTTGGGGAGTTTGGGCGACCACCGCATTTAACTTTTTAAACTCCTTAAACTCTCAAAACTGAGTGGTTGAAGTGAACTAGCTTCTGATGCTTAGTGTAAGCTTGTTTTATCATGCAATTCTTGGTTTCTTCTCTGTTTGACCAATAAAATAACTCTTCTGTTCCTTCGTCATTTAGTTGTATTTAATTATAGAAACTAAAGAAAAATAAGACCAAGAGACAAGAATGCAGTGGTGGATCCTGAATGGTAGGTATTTGACTGGGAATTTAGCTTAATGCGTCAGGGTTACAGGAACGCCCAATATTCCAGATCCACCATTAATAATCTCCTGTGAAGCCTAAGTAGGAACCACACAAGAAGCTCCCATAAGATTGGTAATGTTGATCAAGGCATGAAAGCTGTAATCAAGAAAGCCAAGGAAATCACGTGGGAGTCTGCAATGAAAATGTCCAAAAGTTAAGAGTAGCACATGAAGACATACCAGAGATAGATAATCCAAACATTGGATCTCCTGTATTTGAAAGTGATAAACCTAAAAGAGAAGTGGACAATCGTGGGCTGTACCAGTTCCAAATTCTGAGACTATAGAAAGGACTAGGGAAAGATAAGCAAATAAAAGAATTAAGATAGACAAATTATTGACCCCAGGATATACCAATTCTGGGGACCCTTGAAAGATAGGTATAAAGCAATTTCCAGATCCACCAAACAAGCCAGGCATTACCAAAAAGAAGGTCATAAGAACGCCATGCAATGCAATGCTTGTATTACAGAAGTTCTGGTTTTCTGGACATCACTATCCTTTATTGCTTTTGCTGAACACTTGGACGTTACTCCTATGACGAAATGAAAGAAAGCCCGACTTTTCCTTGACCCTTCATTCGACTACTTTCATGTTTGACATCTTATTATTAATGGTTCTGTGCTGGATTCACTGCACGGTTGTTGAATATAAGTAAATCAGTGGCTTGTTCTTCTTACTTTGATTCTATGGCATGAAGCAGAACATGCACAATACATGAAATCGTGCCCAGTAAGGTCTCAATTCAAACTGAAACAAGATAAAACGATCATTGAAGAAGAAAGGAAGCGTATTGTAATCTCATCTTTTCCCTTATCACTCTCTTATGTCTCTTGCACTCCATTCTCTTATCACTAAAGTCATTAAAAGTTAGGTGGACGGTTAGTGTGGGTTTTGTTAATGCAACTGAAATAAACCGTGCACTTCACTTCGTTGCAAGTTGTGCTGTTCTTCAAATGACAATCAATAAAGACAACCCAAACATGAAGGTAACAGATAGATGACCTAATTTCTGATGCATCATTCTACCATCATATATTAGCTCTGGGATTATAGATTCGTTTATAATTTGTTCCGTGTTTTTTGCTTATTGAACTCTCACTTACATTCCATTACATTCGTTCCCAAAATACTAAACTCAAATGAACTAAACATAAACATAAATGAACGTAATGAATGCATGGTTTAATTCAATTACATTTAGGCTTTTTTGCCTGTGGGTCATTAGCGCGCGCGTGTGTTGTTGTGGTTAATTTTAGACAAAATAACCACAAAGCACGAAGCATCCAGCGTTAGGAGCGGCCAGTAAGCTTGTGAGACAGGTCCTTGCTGTTCCTTGACGGTAGAATGCCAAGACAAGAGCGGAAGAAAGGATGGAATGAAAAGAACCAAATAAAACTAGTGAAAGATAGCGAAAGAGCATTCAGTCGCTCTTTGTTCTGTTCTTCTGCACATTTATGTATTTTGCTTAATAATTCCCTTCTCTTTGCGTCATATTTTCTACTTACAAAAAGTTGTGTTCTCTGCTGTTAGTCTTTGTTTCATCAGTTAGCGTGGTATATACAGTAAAGCCAAAATCTATGGTTCGTTGTGCTTAGCCTTAAAATAGACACGCATTATGCTCTTATTCTGTTCCCTACATTTAATTTGAATCAAGCAAAGCCACAATAGTATAGCAGGCATTGTGTAGTCGTTTTTTTTCATGCTCTTTTTTCCGAAGAAGTCCTGCGCGCGGTCCCAGTGCACAAACTACGGCGTGTAGTGGTTTACGCTTACAAGGCGTTTATCGAATGTTGCACATGTAGGTTGGATATCTGTTGTCTTTTTGTCGACAGAAGAAAGTGTCACATTAAACATTACGGTCCCTGCCTCGTAAATATATACATACATAGATATATTTTATACACGTATGTCGTAAAAGGAAATCGCACGGCAGCGAAACAGCAAAATACGGACGTACAGCATGATACGCGCGGACAGCTAGACTGTTTGCGAAATTGTGGATTGTGATAACTCGTCTCCAGCTACGAAAACTGCAATTTTATCAACAGACCTGTCAATCGTCGCAGGATCGCGGGGAGCCATGTTATTTGCAGCAACATCGTTCTGCAGAAACAGGGTTGGTTAAGAACCGACTACTGTAGAATCCAGCACAAAGGGACTAAGTTTGAAGCGTGTGCATCGGAAGGCTGAGCTGTGTCTCAAGCTTCCCCGCAATGCTTGCTGGCAAAGGTGCGTCTTGTCGAAGCCACTGTCCTCCAGAGCCTGGCCACAACAGAATCCAACAATAGCAGAAGCATCTAACGGCGAAAATGACCATGTGACGATGCCATGATTCAGGACTCAAGGCTATAAAGTATTTGGTTGTTCGGGTCCGAATTGGTCTAATCGGAATTTAATATGACCTTCGCTTCCCCCGACTTCGCTCCACTTGGCCTTGATGCACAAAGCCGCCGTGAAGCCAGCAGTGCCTGTTTAGAACTCTTGGTCTTCGTGGTTTGCATGCTTGAGTATACACGTTCGTCCCCAAAACAACACTCACCCAACACTGCGCATGTTCACCGTGCTTGTGCGTCGCGTGATAGCCCTGCGCACTTCAAAACACAATCACCTGTGCATTGCCTGTACCAAAGCATCCTGGTGACAAGCTACGATGGAAATTGAACAGTTTGGGCATGAACTACGAGAACAGCAAAAGCTTTCAAGCAGATTCCGATAGTAAACGTTCCAACAAAAGCGGTTGAAAACTTATGTGCGACACCATCGAAAGCAAGTTGTATGCCGTGCATTGTGCCAGCTGCTGAAGTAATGTAAGAAAGCCAAGATGCCAATGGTCATTGCATCAATCGGTGCTAAAGTCTCAGGCAGTGGCACCAGCCACTCGGCCTTCACGGAGGCGTACTCGGCATGACCACCATGAAATTTCTGACCCATCTCCTTATCCATCTTTTCGGCTTAGCTCCCAACGATGTTAAATTATCGCCCTTCTGGGATTCGCCAACAATCTGCCAAGCCTCGTACCCCGTCATGATGACTCGGTCGCCTTTTTTGAACCCTCCCTTCGTTTCATCTACAGTGCCCACGAAGTCAATACCGGTAATCAACGGCAACTTTTCCACGACACCATATATACCGCAGATCGCCATGCCATCTTTGTAGTTCACCCCGGAGTAGTCGACTTTCACACGAATGTATTCCTCGCCTGCCGACAGTTCGTCGAAGGGCACCTGTTTCAGTTCCATCTGTAGGCTGGCCCCTACTTTTTCTATCCAACATGCACGGAAGGATCCAGTCGCCATGGCGCGAGAAGCCACGTCGTCCGGAAATCCCTTTGTCACGTCGACAATTAAAAAGGTCGACAATTCGGAACCCTTAAAACTTGAGGCGAAACACAACATGCGCAGGGACCTTTGAGGTAAGCGTGGCATGGTCTGCAAATGCGAACAACGTGCAATGACCAGATCAAGTCAAAAAGTATGTCCTGATATGCACCAAATCTGTGCCTCAGACACCGCATCCACGCTGGGCAACAGAACATCGCAGCCACACAGCTCCAACACGCCCTGGGCGGCAAAATGCTGCTAAGATCTGCCAAGAAACCCTCGCAGACGGTTGTAAGACTTAGACTTTATCTGTAATGGCAGGCAAACCAATCTTCGCAAAAACACGGGCAAAAGCCAGAAATGCAACGGATTAGCAAACTCAAAACGTGGGAATTTAGTGATCATCTTGGGCATCGAACCCTTCCAAAAGTGCTCGGAACATGCAACCTCTGAGGAAGCTACCGGGCAGCGCAATAACGACGGCAGAGCCATGGGATAACACTGCCTGATCCATGGCCGTGCTCTGCAACACTGTCTTTGCAAGATTGTCTGCGGTTGCGGATTTCTGGAAAAGAAACATGTCATTGGCTAAAGCGGGTGGCCATGGTTGAGTGATGCCGTGCGGGACTAACTTGAAGAATATCATATACGGCATGGCTGGAGCCCATCTGGCCAATGCAGATCAACCTGCGTTCTGGTAAAGAAATGTTGTATAATGAAACGAAACACAACTATAAATGACTATAAACCAAACCTGGGATGTAAGGCTTGGGGAAGCTGCATTCGCTTGGTATTTGCCCTGACTGCCCCCGGACCGGGTTACCGCCAGCGAAGGAGACACGGTCAAGCGGACATTGGAAGGATGCAAAAGGAAAAAAAGGAGGTTGGCAGCAAAGGCCTTAGGCAGAAATGTTGCCCCTTCAGATTGCGCGACAAAGAACAACAGGGCGGCGGCGATGCGCGGTGCCGCCCGTGAGAGACCTCCTTTGCTTTGCTGTCTGGCATGCTGCGCACTGCCATTGACCTTGGCCGGAAATGGCCGGAATGCTTACGACAAACTTACGACTACGACGTAAGGCTTATACGACACAATCCCTCACGCGCATCGTCCCGGCCATGGTGCCGTTCGTCCGGTCGCAGGCAAACTACTGGTGGCGCTGTTGGGGCCGGCCTCATCCACGCTCGGCCTACAGGATGCCTCCTTGTGGCTAACGAACACCTGCAACTTGCTGAATGACGGCCGTTTTTTCGACGACGCGCTCGAGGTCGTCACCTCGACGATTCGGGACCGGGCAGGTGTTGCCGCTAGCCTGGACAACACGAGCGTTTCCAACCGCCTCCTCGGCGAAGGGGTCGGGCCGGGAACGTTCTTGAAGCCGAGCGGGGATTTTTCGCCGTGGGCACGCACATCGACCGCGTGGCATGCTGATGCACGCCTGCAGGATGAGGCGCAGCTGCTGCAAGAACTCCCGGACTTGCGATGTGCGTGGCTCATTATTATTTTTGTTTGTGTTTTTTTTGTTTGCACCTTCGGTCGCAGTCGGCGTGCGCAGGCTAAGCCCTACAAGAAAGAAGCTAAGGAGACGCCACGCCGCCCGTGAACGAAGAGGGCGAGCCTCACAAAGCGGGGAGGCGACTTGCGGCACTGCCTCGGCGTCACGGGCATCCGCCAGCAGGTCGCCCAGTGGCGGCACGCATTCGTCCGCTCCGGCCACGGGCAACTCCAGCAACGAGTAAGCCAGTGCGCGTTGTGCCGCCACGGCCAGCATGCCCATCCATCGGTGCAGGGAGGCACGCTGCACGGCCGGGCGAAGCCGCGCTGGCGACTCGCGGGCGCGAGCCTTGGCCGGTTGCCGCAGGAAGGCAACCGCCTCTCGGCTAAACCTGTGTTGGTTTTCTTTCTTCCTCATTCTCGCCATGTATGCTGCCACGCTTGGCTCAAGTTTTGGAACCGAATGGGTCAAGCTCGTGAGGCTCTGAAACCCCCCCCCAAAAAAAAACTAAACCATAAGTCCCCAAACATGGCCCCGTCGCCGCAGGGTGGGCTTGAACTTATGCAGGCTACCAGTGGTCTGGTGGGAACGTTCCCGGCGGCTGCGCACAACAACCAACAAAGGGTCGGGTACAAAGGCGGGTTTATGGAGGTTCGCGTTGGGGAAGCCACCCACCCGGCCACCAGAAGTTTGCGTGCCGCCGTTGCCTATCGTAGGCAAGAGGCCGGCCCGCCAGTGTTTCCTTGCTCTAAAGCCTCCAGGCAGCGGTCAGCGGATTGCGGGAGAGGATGACCGGCAGCGCGTCCATCCATGCTGCCCAGTATGCAGCCGGTGCAGTGCGTTCGGCTGGCGTGCGCTCATCGCAGGCGTGGGAGGCTCTGCGCTGCCATCCACGCAGGAAATCGGCGGGCTCGTCATGTCGGGATTGCGGGCCTGGCCCATTGGTGAGGCATGTGGGGCATGCTGAGCGTGGCCGTGCAACAGGCGGTCGCGACTACGGTGCTAAGGCCACTCAAGCTGGAGCTTGCTTGCAGCCTCGGCAGGCTCCAGCCGCCTGCCGCTGCGCGAGAGCCCTCGCGCTCCGCACGCTCGCCCAGCTGCAGGATTGGACAGCAGCTTGCTTTTGCAGTCGGGAAAAGGTCCGGCAAAAAATAAGAGAGGCGACTGACTGCGCTACCGTTGCCTGGCCCGAAGAACCACAGGATGAAGTGCCGGGCTGAGCAATGGAGGCATTGTCTGCTGGCAGAATTAAGGATGGGACAGCTGCCCCACGTGCCGCACGCCCGCCCACCACACCCTGACTGGCCGCACGGCTGGCAGCATCATGCGACGCGGACGCGCAATCTTTACTATCGCGTTGCCTTCCCTGCAACCGGCTCCGAGGGCACTTCTGCGCTCGCAAGGCGGGCCACATGGAGGGGCTTGGCTGGCAGCAGTGCCCAGCGAGCCGGCACTCGCACTGGCCCCACAAACCGCAGCTCGCGCTGCGGCGACGACTGCGCTTGCCCCTGTCCCCTTGTGCCCCAACCGCTGCGGACCGCGACCGGGTTGCGGCCAGGTTGCGGCCAGAGGGTAAACGCTTACGGGGACCATGCCCTTGCCTGCCCACGAACAGGGTTGCTGGCCCGCCGCGCGAAAATCGTCGAGCGCACTTGGGTGCGAGTTGCCCGTGGAGCTCGACGGACAAGTAGTTCCCCAACCGTGGCTAGCGCACACCACGGCGCTGGGAGGACCGCCGACCACGCGGGGGTGCGATGTGCTGTGATGCAACCCTCGTCTCTCTACGAGGGCAGGGCAACCAGGCGGGCGCGGCGGACTTTGATGGCGCTGCGCTCCGGGTCGCCGAGCGTCGACACTCGGTTTACCCAGAACGTGGTTAGGTAAGCCGCCGCCTGTGTTGCAGCCAACAGCGAAGGTACCCGTGCAGCTGTGTCGTCGCGCAAGGCTGCGAGCAGGCGCTCCGCAGCTGGGGGGACTCGGGGGCTTGGATGACCGGCAGAGTGTCCATCCAGGAAGCCCAGTAGGCTGCCTGGCGGTCGGTATCGGCTGCACGCAGCCCGAGTCCGCCAAACCGCAGCGCGAGCCGTGCTGCTTGTGCTGGTTGGGGGAGCAGCGGTGTGTCCGCAAGGCCCAACAGCCTTGAGAGGCAGGAGCTTACGGCCGCGTCATGCGAGGAAGCATAGGCTGTTGTCGTGGCAATGTCGTGGCTGGGGGCAGGGAACGCAGGAGGTAGTTGGCCCGTGGAGCAGCACAGTAGTGCGGCAATAGCCATACTGCCTGTAAGTCTTGGACAGACGGGGTGCGCTGCAGGAGAAGGTCGTGCTCTTCGCGTCTTGGCGCCAAGCGTTGTTGGACGTAGGCGTCGCTGCCGAAAGGCGTGCCGAGGACAGTGAGCCCCTGTTCAAATGGCGGGAGCACTCAATCCCCGACCCACACGGCGGTCTTAGCCTCGCCCTGTAGCGCGGCAATGCCCGGTGGCTCCTCTCCTGCCGCGTTCCAATTTTTGTTTTTTTCCCGCGCGTTTTTGCGACTGCAAACGAGGGTCCAGGTCCCAGGTTTACGCCCGCGTGGTAGGCAGGAGAGGGCCCTCGCCAGCTCACCGCGTCAGCGAAGCGGCAGCCTGCTGAGGGCGCTAGCACTAGCGCGGTCAAGCACGCCGCCCAACGGTATTGTTTCCTGGGCGCCCGGCAGCGGCGGCATGGACCACACCCCAAGCGCAGAGAAGGCGACAGCGCGTTGCAGGGCGACGGACAAGACACCCCACCAACGGCGGGCCCAGCCCTGTGCCGCGGATGCGCGCAAGGGCAGGACGCGAAGCCGGAGCAGGGTGCGAAGGAACTGCTGACACTCGTCGTTCCAGCGGCCCCCGACCTCTGCGGCGAGCACGACAAGCCGCTGCGGTCCGCCGCGCGTGAGTTCCGGGTAGCGTGCGACTTTGCCCCGGCGAGCGGCGTCTATATAGGGTGACCCCTGCACGCGCGTCAGCCCCAGGCACTGGGCGGCCTGCGCGAGTGAGGGGGGACACGAGTGTCGCATCGCAACACAAAGCTTTTCCTAAACCCTACAGCGGTGGTATGCCAAGTACAGCTCGTGGATCTGCTGTGGGGTGGCGATGATATATGCGTCGTCGAGATACGCAAAGATGGCCTCCCCCGTCCGCAGTTGCCCCTGCACCTCTTCAAGCACGGGGTGTCGAGCGAGCGAAAACAGGGCGAGCATCAGCGGATCTCCTTCTTCTCCGCCCTCCGCTTGCGCGAAGCCCTTGCCCATCAGTCCATGTGTAAGTGCTGGCGGCACGGTAAAATTGCCGAGCGTAAGGGAGGAGCGGCCGGAGCTCTGGGCGGGCATGCAGGGCCGCCAGCATTGCCGGCACCACCTGCGTCCACGGACACGATCGAGGGTCGACTTCAGTTGCAGCTCTCAGGACGCGCGGCAAAGCTTCAGCCCAACACGAGTGCTGAGGCCGTACTGGTAAGGCAGGCATGCAGTCTCGAGTCGCAGCGCGAAGGCTTGCGCGAGCGCCCGCCCCACCAGCCGCCGCAAAACGTCGCTTATATCACAGGGGAGCGGATGCCGCGTCCATCCGGCTTCTGCAGAGCGACGATCCTGCCAATGCGGATTGCTGCGAGGGCCGGGGTTGGCAGGTCGGTTTGCGCAGGGCGCTGCGCGGCGCAGTATGGGAGTTGGCTACGCGCAACGATGGAGAAACATGCACGGAGCAAGAAAAAAAAACTTCCAGTCTCGGAGCTCTTGCTGTGGTGACGTACGCTCTGAGATTATCTCCAGCCCTGTCCGCATGGCGGTACGGAGGGCCCCGCATAAGCGAGCGGGGACTCCTTGAAGACCAGCTGTAGACCGACGGTGGGCCATAGAACATGAGCGCGCGCCAGCTGGGTGGGCCGGCAGAGGTGCAAGCGGCTGCGGAGGCCGCCGGGCTTCATCCGTGAGGGCTTGCCACGTGGCGTCAGCACGCGATAATCCCGCCTGGCGGACTTTTGCACATGCCTGATTGCGTTTGCGGCTCCCCCGTTCGGGGGGCTGGCGGCGCGGCTGCAGTCTCTTCCTGTTCCTGCTCGGACACACACCTCGGCCTGTGCCGCGGGGGAAGGGCGTATGCTCGGCATAAAGGGACGACATGCGGACCTTCCCCAGTTTCATTGACATCCGGGTCACATTCCATCCCTGAAGCACATGCCTTCGTGGACAAAGTATGTGGAGCCGCGTGCTCACTACAGCCGTCGTTTTGTTGTGGCACACTACAACGACTCGCAGGCTTCCAGGAGTGTCCTCCCTGCTGCGAAAAGCGAGACGGGGATCACGCAGTCATTCTAGAGTGAACAGCCGAGCAAAGCTCTTGGATCCCCGCTGTCTGCTTCGAGGTTCATGCCAGCCAGGCGCACGTTCCGTGCGACCCCCGCGCCAGTTTCGCGGCACACTCGGGCGGCTGCATGCTCGAGTGGGAGGGCTCGCGTTGCCAGAACGCCAGAGTCGGCAAGGCGGTGATGGCACGAGAAGCAAAACCCAGCTTGCGACAGCAGCAGCGCGCGGGATGCAAAGGAAGGAAGCACCCCGCACCCATCGCTTGCTCCAGCAATGCAGCAAGCAAAGCCTTTCCTTCAGACGCTCGAGGATGATGCCTCCGAGGATGTGTGATGCACGGTGCGCTCACGCGACGGTTCGCGTGAATAGCTCGCACTTTCGTCGGCTTTTGGTGGGAGTGTTCGGTGTGATTCGCAACAACGGTTGAATCTGAGCGGATTTTTTGCTTGACCTGGTGCAGACGTTTCCGCAAGTCACGCTTTTTCTTGGTTACGAACCAAAGTTGGTGACGGCGTAGCGGTAACGATACTAAAGTGCGAAGGGACAGGGCTCGTGAGACCCCGTCTGATTTGAATCTAGATGATCATAATCGCTCGCCATGCCGGGGCCCCCAGGCTCATCCGACAATCAAGTCACAAGCCCCAAAACCGAACCCCGTCATCTTTCTCACACCTTGAGCCACCGATACCGTGGCATGTCATTCTTGCGCAGGGGCCATGCAACCTGCACATCCCACGGCTCACCTGCACTCCTCCTCGTCAAATCTTCGCTTGACGAAGATTGGGCGTCCCTAATGGTGTGCCCACGTTAACAAAAGCATGCATCCATCCAAAGCCGGACTATTCCTTAGACCAAGGACGGCAATTAAGGCTCGACACGCACAGAACCCATCTCCAGGACCAGTGCTTTGAGGCTCACCTCTCTTGAGCTTTCCAGCTTGTTCTTCGACAACGTTTTTGTCAAACCATCAGCCGGAATCAAATCCCCACTCATATACAGCATCGGAATGTTGTCATTTCTCAGGTGATCTCTCAGATACGAGCAGCGCATGCCAAAATGGGGTGCGCGGGTGGGTTGCACATACTCGGATCCCTTAGTCAAGTTGCTAACGCAAGCAGAGTTGTCTCCGAAAAGCTCCGTCTCCACACCCTTTTGCAGAAACTTGTCCAAGAACGTCTTCACCTGTGTTCCGAGCTGATACGCTGTAGCAGATGCCTCCACTTCGGCCTCGAAGGCGGAGAACGCAGTCAAAGATTGGCGCTGAGTGCGATACGCGATGACATGGCCGCCAAACTTCACCACTACACCCGTCCGTGACCTTGATGCCCCTGGTGCTAGTGAGGCATCTCCAAACACCGAGAGTCGTGCCTCCTGAAGGTCACCACCGGCCTTAAAGAAAAGCACCTTATCCCTAGTACCAGCTAGGTATCGCCATACCTGCGTAGCCAGCTTATACGTCTTCCTCGGGTCCACCGTGCTCATGCACGACAACGCCCCCACTGTTGCGAGCACATCTGGCCTTGTTCGCAGCCCCACCCAAAACAACGATCCAACCTCAGACTGCGCACGATGCAGATCAGCAGCATACGCGTCATCGCGAGGTGCTGGCTCCGTTTGTCCTTCCACCACCTCTGGAAGGTTAGCTGCACCCTTGACCATTGTCCAGCCGCGTCGCTCCAACTCTGTTTCAATCCAGGGATGCTGATGCAGCGCTACACCTTCCTCAGTTCGCCTTATCACCATTCCCAGAAACTGTAGCTCTTGCCGAACAGGAACCTGTTTGTCTCCCACCTGGACCGTCGATCCCACCTTTAGCCCATCACTCGGCAAGAAGCCTTGGATCTTCATTTGCCAAATCCCCAGCAGCACCTCTGCCAAGGACTGACACAAACCAACCGGTGCCACGATCAGACCGTCATCAACGTACATGTC